CGCCGTGCTGGTCTTGCTGCGCCGTGCTGGTCTTGCTGTGCCGTGTGCTGGTATTGCTGTGCCGTGCTGGTCTTGCTGTGCCGTGCTGGTCTTGCCGTGCCGTGCTGGTCTTGCGAGGCCATGCTGGTCTGGCCGTGCCGTGCTGGTCTTGCTGTGCCGTGCTGGTCTTGCCGTGCCGTGCTGGTCTTGCGAGGCCATGCTGGTCTTGTCGTGCCGTGCTGGTCTTGCTGTGCCGTGCTGGTCTTGCCGTGCCGCGCTGGTCTTGCCGTGCCGTGCTGGTCTGGCCGTGCCGTGCTGGTCTTGCTGTGCCGTGCTGGTCTTGCTGTGCCGTGCTGGTCTTGCCGTGCAGTGCTGGTCTTCTTTTAGCATTGGATTTTAGCATTGGGTTGTAGCTTTTGATTTTAGCATTGGATTTTAGCATTGGATTTTAGCGCCTTGCCGCGGTTTCCGCATGACTTCGGCGCCGCGGGTTTCGGCGCGCAAGAATTCGACCCAGTTAGCATTGGATTTTAGCATTGGGCTTTAGCATTTGATTTTCGCATTTGATTTTAGCATTGGGTTTGAGCATTGGAGTTTAGCATTTGGGTTTTAACGTGAGATTATAGTGCCCTGCCGGCGTTTCCGCATGCTTCGGCGCCGCGGTGTTCGGCGCTCAAGCGTTCGGCGCCGTTAGCATTGGATTTCAGCATTGGATTTTAGCATTGGATTTTAGCAGTGGGTTTACCACCTCGCCGGGGCTTCCGTTAGCATTGGATTTTAGCATTGGGTTTTAGCATTGGATTTGAGCACCTTGCCGCCATTAGCATTGGATTTCAGCATTGGATTTGAGCATTGGATTTTAGCAGTGGGTTTACCACCTTGCCGGGGCTTCCGTTAGCATTGGATTTTAGCATTGGATTTTAGCATTGGATTTGAGCACCTTGCCGCCATTAGCATTGGATTTTAGCATTGGACTTTAGCATCGGATTTTAGCATTGGATTTTAGCGCTGTATTTTAACGGGTTGCGGCGGCGAGCTCATGCGGAAACGCCGACAAGGTGCCAAAATCTAATGCTTAAGTTCCATTTCTGAAATCCAATGCTAAAATCCAATGCTAAAATCCAATGCTAAACTCCAATGCTAACGGCGCCGAATTCTTGCGCGCCGAAGCCCGCGGCGCCGAAATCATTTGGAACCCCCGGCAGGCTGCTAAACTCCAATGCTAGAATCCAATGCTAAAATCCAATGTCAAAATCCAATGCTACAAGCCTATGCTAAAATCCAATGCTAAACTCCAATGCTAAAATCCAATGCTAAAATTCCAATGCTAACGGCGGCAAGGTGCTCAAATCCAATGCTAAAATCCAATGCTATGCTAACGGCGCCGAACGCTTGAGCGCCGAAACCCGCGGCGCCGAAATCATGCGGAAACCCCAGCAAGGTGCTAAAATCCAATGCTAAAATCCATTGCTAAAATTTCTCGCGCGCCGAAATCCGCGGCGCTGAAAGTCTTGCAGAGCGCCCGGCACGGTACCGAAACCCAATGCTAAAATCCAATGCTAAAATCCAATGCTAAAATCTAGCGCTAAACTCCAATGCTAACGGCGCCGAATTCTTTCACGCCCGGAACGGTACCGTAATCCAATGCTAAAATCCTATGCTACAATCCAATGCTAAAATCCAATGCTAAAATCCAATGCTAAAATCCAATGGTAAATCTAATGTTAAAATCCAATGCTGACGGCGCCGAATTCTTGCGCGCCGAAATCCGCGGCGCTGATGCTCAAATCCAATGCTAAAATCCAGTGCTAAATTCCAATGCTAAAATCCAATGCTAAAGGTGCCGAACCTGTGCGCGCCGAAATCCGCGGCTGAAAGTCCAGCAGAAAGCTCGGCGCGGTGGCGAAATCCAATGCTAAAGTCCAATGTAAAAATCCAATGCTAAGAGCCAATGCTAAAATCCAATGCTAAAGCCCAACGCTAAAATCCAGTGGTGAAATCCAATGCTAAAACCAAGGCTAAACTGCAATGCTAAAATGCTAAACCCTAATGCTAAAATCCAACGCTAAAATCCAATGCTAAAATCCAATGCTAAAATTCAATGCTAACATCCAATGCTAAAATCCAATGCTGAAGTCCAATGCTGAAATCCAATGTTAAAACCCAATGCTAAAATCCAATGCTAAAATCCAATGCTCAAATCCAATGCTAAAACCCAATGTTGAAATCCAGTGCTAAAACCCTATGGTAATCTCCAATGCTCACGGCGCCGAATCCTTGCGCGCCCAAGTCCGCTGCGCTGATGCTTAAATCCAATGCTAAAATCCCATTCTAAAATCCAATGCTAAAGCCCAATGCTAAATTCCAATGCTAACGGCGCCGAATTCTTGCGCGCTTAAATCCGTGGCGCTGAAAGTCTTGCAGAACGCCCGGCACGGTGCCGAAATCCAAGGCTAAAAGCCAATGCTGGAGTCCAATGCTAAAATCCAATGCTAAAATCCAGTGCTAAAATCCAATGCTAAAATCCAACGCTAAAGTTTAATGCTACAATCCAATGCTAAAATCCAAATGCTAAAATCCAATGCTACAATCCAGTGCTAAAGTCCTATGCAGAAATCCCATGCTAAAATTCAATACAAAAGCCCAATGCTAAAATCCAATGCTAATGGCGCCGAACTCCTGCGCGGCGGAATCGGCGCTGAACATCTTGCAGAATGCCCGGCAAGGTACCGAAACCCAATGCTAAAATCCAATGCTAAAATCCAATGCTAAGACGCAGTGCTAAATTCCAGTGTAAAATCCAATGCTAAATTCCAGTGCTGACGCCAATGCTAAAATGCAATGCTAAAATCCAATGCTAAAGGCCAATGCTAAAATCCAATGCTAAAATCCAAATCTAAAATCCAATGTTTAAATCCAGTGCTAAAATCCTATGCTAATCTCCAATGCTGACGGCGCCGAATCCTTGTGCGCCCAAATCCGCTGCGTTGATGCTCGAATCCAATGCTAAAATCCAATGCTAAAGTCCAATGCTAAAATCCAATGCTAAAATCCAATGTTAAAATCGAGTGCTAAAATCCAATGCTAAAATCCAATGCTAAAATCCAATGCTAAAATAAACGCCGCTGTGCACTTACAGCTCAAGGCCACTGTGCACTTACAGCTTACCATTTCTGAGGCCATCCTGAAGCCATCATGGGCCAATTTGGGCGCTCCAACCACCCGCGGCCCCCCCACCCTTTCCTCCCAGGCCCAGGGGAGGGTGTAGAAAGAGTAGTAAACCCCTCCCCCGAGCAGGGGAAGGAGGGATTTGGGGCAGAGAAGACAAAATTCGTTAAACCTTTTACTGCCCGAGGGCTGGTGGGATTTGAATCCGAGTTCCCTCCTCTAGTGCCCTTCTGGGCAGTGGCATCGGCAACGACCGGATGAACGAATCGGCTGGCCAGTTCTTCCGCTTCCCCCCGCTCCGAAGCATGTGATTTGTTTCTATGCTTGTCGGCGCCGCGGCGCCACCACCTACCCCAACGGAGGGCCGTCCCGCGGGGCGAATGGGTGCAGTGTCCACTGAGCATGTGATTTGTTTTTACGCTTGTCGGCGCCGCGGCGCCACCATCTAGCCCAACGTAGGGCCGTCCCGCGGGGCGAACGGGTGCAGTGTCCATTGTCCAACGGGTCCTTCTGGAGATCTCCTGGGGGCCTCTTGGGCCCCTCTTGCGGGCCCCGGAGGCCCTTGGAACTACCAAGGGTTCCTGAGTTTCTCGCGCGTTTGTTGGGAGGCAGCCGGGGCACGTTGGGGTCGTTTTTGGGCGAGTTTGGCATCCCAGAGGCGGAGTAACGCCAGAAACGTCCTGGAGCGCCCCCAGGAATTCCAGTAAGTTGGTGGTCTGGCCTTTCAGATTCCCACAGTTGTTGTAATACTTACATCCGCATGCGCCTTGGAGCGTTCCATTACGTGCCAAAGGCACGGTTGCAGATTACGTTGCGAAGGATTACGAAACGGTTAGGGCATGCACCTACCGCGCTGCATGATTCGTGGTGGCGGATGCTGCCCTGTCCGCCATACGTGGGAGTCATTGGAGGCTGCCGGGCAACCCATACATGGTAGTACCAGGTGCGAAAGGAGGAGGAGGAAAATGAGGAGAAGGAGGAGGAAAAGGAAGAGGAGGAGGAGGACGATGGCGAATCAACCTGCGTAACATTCCCTCCGCGGCCACGCTGCCAGGGAAGGGGGGCAATCTGGGTGATGCTTAGCAGAGGGGGGGATGGGCAGGCGAGGGCAAGGATGGCGGGAGAGAGAGAGAAAGAGAGGGGATAGAGAGAGAGAGAGAGAGAACACACACAAGAGAGGGAGGGCGAGAGACAGAAAGAGAGAGAGAGAGAGAGAGACAGAGAGAGAAAGGGAGAGATATTGAGAGAGAGAGAGAGAGAAAAAACAACAAACACAATACATCTATATACCTATGTTTATATAAGCACATATTTTATATGGACATGCATATATATATATATATATATGAACATCTGCATACACAGAGATTTATCGAAACTGCGAAAGAGAGAGAGAGAGAGAGAGAGTCATAGAGATAATGAAAGAGAGACGCGGTATTATACCGACGCGGTGGCGGGCGAAGGGGCGCACTCATGAGCAGGAGCACGCCGCCATGGCCATCGGCAGGGCCATGGTTGACGCGGGGCCCAAGGGGGGAGCCGACCTGTGTACCCCTTTCTCCCTGTGTGCATCTCATTTTTGGGCTGATACGAGAGAGGGTGGGAGAGAGAAAGAGGGGGAGAGAGAGAGAGAGAGAGAGAGAGAAAGAGAGAGAGAGAGAGAGAGAGAGAGAAAGAGAGAGAGAAGGAGGCCGTGTGTACCCGTGAGGAGCGTGAGTACCTCGTGTGCCCGTGACGAGCGTACGGGAGAGATAGAGAGAGAGAGAGAGAGGGAGAGGGAGAGAGAGAGAGAGAGAGAGAGAGAGAGAGAGGCCTCGTATCTAGAGGGGGGAACGTCCGTGTCTGTCCGCGAGGAGCGTGAGGACCGCGAGGCGGGCGCGGATTCTGCCAACGCGGAGACCTTCGGGGACGACGCGGTGCTGCGCGGCTGGAGTTTCGAAGAGAACCTGGCGCGCCGGGGGTCGTGGTCGGGCAGCGCTGCGCGGTGCTCTTGCTCGGAATGGCACGTCGGGCTCATCTGCTTGTCCTCTCGCTCATTTCGTATGCCTTCCGTGTCCTTGAGTCTTGCTATCCAGCTGCCTGCGGCATGCCCCGCCACCGTGGCGGCATGTGGCACCCCAGCATTCTCGGTTGCGACTGTTCGGGGTGCGCGCGAGGTCGTCACGTGGGGCACCTCGTGTTTCCAGGCTTGGGGAAGCCGTGATGACGATGATGAGAATTATAAGGATACGGATGGTACGGATGAGGCTAGTGATGATGATGTTGGTGATGATGATTGTGATGGCGGCGATGCTGATGGTGTTGCTGATGATGATGGTGATGATGCTGATGATCATTCTGATGATGTTGATTCTGATGCTGATGATGATGATGCTGATGCTGATGATGATGATGTTGATGATGCGGACGATGATGATGATGACGATGATGGCGATGATGATGCTGCTGCTGATGCTGATGCTGATGATGGCGATGATGCAGTTGATGATGCTGATTGTGGTGACGGTGATGATAACAATGCTGATGATGCTGATGAGGTTGATGACGATGACGTCGACGATGTTAAAGATGGTGGTGACGATGATGGTTACGATGCTGATGATACTGATGATGATGCTGCTGTTGCTGATGGTGGTGATAATGATGATGCCGATGACGAGGGCGATGGTGATTGTGATGTTGATGACGATGGTTGTGATAATGATGATTATGATGATGATGATGGTGATGCAAATGTTGATGATGATGGTGGTGTGGATGGCGATGATGCTGAGTGATGGTGGTGTTCATGATGATGGTTGTGATGATGCTGATGATGATGGTGATGATGATGATGATGATGATGATGATGATGATGATGGATGATGACGGTGATGATGCTGAAGATGACGATGCTGATGCCGATGCTGATGATGATGGTGCTCATGGTGCTGATGACGTTGATGATGGCGATTACGATGGCGATGGTGATGAGGGTCATGATGGTGATGGTGATTAGTCTGACGATGATCTCGTTGTTGTTGGTGATGATGATGCTGATGACGATGATGACGATGATGATTACGGTGTCATTGATGAAGCTGATGCTACTGATGGTGCTGATCATGATGGCGATGATGATGCTGTTGCTGATGATGATGATGATTGGTGATGGTGATGCTGGTGGCGATAGTGATGGTGAGATGGATGATGATACTGATGATGCTGCTGATGATGCTACTGATGATGATGAGGATGATGATGATGGTGGTGGTGGTGATGATGATGCTGATGATGCTGATGATGCTGATGATGCTGATGCTGATGCTGATGCTGGTGGTGGTGGTTGTGATAATGATGAAACTTGTTTAGGCAGTCTTGGAACTGTCTTGGCCCCTTTTGAGGGGGGGGGGGGGAGGGAGGGGAAGGCAGTCTTGGGGGCCCCTTGATGCCCTCCTGGGCCGTCTTAGGGTCCTCTTGCGCTTGCTTCGGGTCTCGCTTGGGCCGTCTTGGAGCCCTCTTGGCCGTATAGTGGGTTCCTGGGGGCTGTCGTATGGTGACGGGCTGTCTTGGGACTCTCTTGGCCGTATGATGGGGATAGGGATCATGATCATGTTGGTGGTGGTGGTGATGTTGATGTGGTTGACGGTGATGGTGATTATGATGACGATGCTCATGATGATGATGTTGATGATGATGACGAGGGTGATGATGGTGATGATGATGATGCTGATGGTGGCGCTGTTGATGATGACGGCGCCGATGTTGATACCGATGATGATGAGGATGATGATGCTGATGATGGTGATGACGACGATGACGATGATGGTGACGATGACGACGGCGACGATGATGACGATGATGTTGATGCTGATGATACTGTTAACGATGGCAATGACGATGGCGAAGACGATGATGTTGATTGTGCTGATGATGCTGACGCTGTCAACGCCGATGGTGATGCTGCTGCAGATGGTGATGACGGTGATGGCAAGGATGATGGCTGCGATGTTGATGACGATGATGATGGTCAAGCTGATGATGTTGATGATGCTGATGATGCTGATGATGCTGATGATGCTGATGATGCTGATGATGATGATGATAGTGATGGTGATAGTGATGGTTATGGTGATGTTGGTGGTATTGGTGATGATTATGATGACGATGACGACGATGGCGGCGATGATGACGATGATGATGAGGATGATGATGACGATGATGATGGCCATGTTGACGATGGTGCTAATACTGATGATGATGCTGCTGATAATTATAACCATGATGATGATGATGGTGATGCTGATGCTGTTGCTGATGATTGCAGGATTCTTAGTATGGTAGGATGATGGACATGATGGTGATGCTGATGCTGATGATGCCAGTGCTGATGTCGCTGGTGATGATGATGAGGATGATGCTGCTGATCACGATGATCATGCTGATGATGCTGATGATGATGATGATTCTGATGATGCTGCTGATGGTGATGCTGATGATGATGATTATGATGATGATGATGATGATGATGATGATGATGATGACGATGACGATGATGATGATGATGATGATGATGGTAATGCTGATGATGTTGATCATGATGACGATGATGATGATGTTGATGATGATGCTGATGATGATGTTGATGATGATGGTGATGATGATGCTGATGCTGATGATGCTGATGATGGTGATGCTGATGATGATGATGATGATGATGATGATGCTGATGATGATGATGATGATGATGATGATGATGATGATGATGATGATGATGGTGATGGTGAAACTCGTTTTGGCCGTCTTGGGGCTGCCTTGGCCTCTTGTATGGGGGGGAGTTTTTAGAGGGTGCCTTGAAGTCTCTTGGGCCGTCTTGTTTTCCTCTTGGCCGTATGGTGGGTGTCTCGGGGCTGTCGTGGGGCCGTTTTGGCGCCGTTTTTGGGCGTCGAAGGGTCCTTTAAGGCTGTCTTGGGTCCCACGGGATGCCCCCTTCGGCCGTGATTGGGGCCGTCTTGGATGCCTCTTGGGCCATCGTGGGGTCTTCTTGGGCCGTCATGAGCCGACGGCAGCACGAAAAGGTGATAATGCGACAATCAGTCAAACACCCAAGGGAAATCATTGGTTTTGGCTTTCTCAGATCCTGGTGGAGGTCCTCTTGTTGTCCTCTCTGGCCCTCATGGAGGCATCTTGGGCCGTCTTGAAGCAATACTCGGCAGCCTTAGAGCCATCTTGGGCCGTCTTCGAGGCATCTTGGGCCATCTTGGTGTCCTTGGCTGCCCGCGCGGGCCGTCTTGGAAGCTCGGGGTGCAGATCCTTCGTTTTTTGACGAGGGGTCGTGGCTTGGGAGGCCCTGGAGCGCTTGGGAGCAGCGCCAGGGAATGCGGGAAGTGCACGAACCTTTGCGCGAGTGTGCGTGGGATTAGGGATTCGGAAGTTAGCGGCCATGCGGGAATTGCAAACCCTCGAGCGGGCGCGCATGGAATGAGGGTTCAGGCTTTAGCTGCCATGCGGGAAGTGCACTATCCTCGAGCGGGCATGCGTGGAAGGGGGGTTCAGACATTGACCGCCATGCGGGAAGTGCACCCCTCCTCGAGCGGGCACGCTTGGAAAGGGGGTTTAGGCATCAGTTGCCACTCTGGAAGTGCACCATCCTCGAGCGGGCGCGAGGGAAGTGGCCTCGGCGAGTCGGGGGGATGCACGCAGCAGTTTGTGAGTAGAGGGGGGGGCGGTCCCTTCTCAGATGACAGAAGTCCTAGCAAGCAGCCCTTGGCATTCTTTCGCGCCTCAACGTGCCAGGGGGCGCGGTGGCGGATTGCTGGTGTGTGCATCCGGGAACCGTCGCCGCCAGGGGCCTGCGCGATCTCTCGTGGATGGGGGGTTCGATGCTACCCCGCCCAGCTTTTTGGTTGTCTTGGCTTTGGAATGGTAGGCTCAGCGTGGAAGGGTCTCGCAATGTCCACTCCTAGAACGCAGCAGTCAGGGGACACGGGCACATTGAAGCTCGAAGCTCCAGAACCAGCGCGTGTGCGAGTGTGCGTGTGTGCGTGTGTGCGTGTGTGTGTGTGTGTGTGTGTGTGTGTGTGTGTGTGTGCGGGTGTGTGTGTGTGTGTGTGTGTGTGTGGGTGTCGGCTTTTTTCGCCTCGACGCTGTGCGCGAGGCCGCGGCGCCAAAAAGTGTGAAAGTGCGTGTGTGTGTGTGTGTGTGCGTGTGTGTGTGTGTGTGTATGTGTGTGTGTGTGTGTGTGTGGGGGGTCCAGCGGAAGCGGGAGGTGGCCAAAGGCGAGGGGCGCGGGGACGGCCCATCACGCAGCTCCGGGTCCACGGACAACTGGACCAGAATGCAGCGCCCCAGGCGCTGACTTGTCCCGAACGCCCCTGACGGATCTCGCTACCTAGGGTGCCCGCCCTAACCGCCCCTTCTGTCCCTGGCAAGGCCTCTTGGCGCTCTTCTTCGGGTACGACCTGTTCGTCGCCTTCTACAACGCCTGGCCCTGTCTCCCCCTCCCCCTCCCTCCTTCACACCTGATAATGGGACGGTTAGTCCCTCCTGATTCCGCAGGGTCCACCTGCTACATCGACTGGGACCGCGAAAACGCCCTGTATCAGGAGATCCGGCGAAACCGGGAGGTGGCCAAAGACGAGGGGCGCGGGGACGGCCCATCACGCAGCTCCGGGCCCATGGACAACTAGAACGGAATGCAGCGCCCCAAGCGCTGACTTGTCTCGAACGCTGCCAACTGATCTCGCGGCCTCGGGCGCCCTGCCCTGACCGCCCCTCCTGTCCCTGGCAAGGCCTCCTGGCGCTTTTCTTCGGGTACGACCTGTTCGTCGCCTTCTGCAACGCCTGGCCCTGTCTCCCCCCCCCCCCCTCCTCTATACCTGATAATGGGACGGTTAGTCCCCCCTGGTTCCGCAGGTTCCAACTGCCTCCGGTGGCTGGTGGGGCCGCCCAGTTGCCGGCGCGGGGTTGCCCCGGCGCTGGTTGGCCCGCCTGGCTGGTCTTTCTCCTCCCTGCCCGCTTTCCCCTTTCCCCGCCCGCTACCCCTCCTCCCGCATGGCGGCCGCGCCCGGCACAGCGCGGCTTTGGCCCGGTGCCCAGCGCTCGCACGCGATGGTCCTACTTCACCTTGCCGCCTCGGCGGCCCCGCGTTCCTGGGCGCAGCGCGGCCCCGGCCTGGCCCTGAGCTCCGCGGACAACGGCAGCGCCCTGGCACAGCGCGGCTTCGGCCCGGTCCTGTGCGCTCGCTCCTGCAGGGCAGGACTCGTTCCACCTCCTGTTCCAGTACACCGGCACCTTGTCGGTCGTCACAGGCGGCATGTTCCTGGCGTGTCCTGGCTGCCGCGCCTCAAGTCATTGCGGCTCCCGTACCTTGGACCCGTGGCACCCTGGACGACCACGGCCTGGGCCACTCGCTCCTGCTACCTGTTCGATGGCACAACGTTGCAATTCGGCTCAGCGATGCTCTCCATTCTCTCTGGTCTCTGACGCTGCTTGGGTGCAATGCGCGTCGCCTGTCGCCGCCAACTCGAGGCTGGTGTGTACGATGAGCCGTGGACGGCAGCACCAACCACAGCATGTTGCTTCTGCCGGTACTTCGCCACCGGGTTCCTTGACAAGGCGCGCCTTTGCAAGCACGTCGACTTCGACACCGCCTGATCCCGAGGCTTGGCCTCCTCCCGGCCTCGCCCTGAAGCTGCGCTCTCCCCCCTTTCTCCCCCTCTTTGTTAATTCAAGCTTTGCGCGGCCCGCTTAGCTTCGACCGGAAGAGGTGCGCTCTCGACCCGCGAATCAAGTGTGTGTGTGTGTGTGCGTGTGTGCGTTTGTGTGTGTGTGTGTGTGTGTGTGTGTGTGTGTGCGTGCGTGCGTGCGTGCGTGCGTGCGTGCGTGCGTGCGTGCGTGCGTGCGTGCGTGTGGTGTGTGTGTGTGTGTGTGTGTGTGTGTGTGTGTGTGTGTGTGTGTGTGTGTGTGTGTGTGTGTGTGTGTGTGTGTGTGTGTGTGTGTGTGTGTGTGTGTGTGTGTGTGTGTGTGTGTGTGTGCGGGTGCGGGTGCGTGCGTGCGTGTGTGTGTGTGTGTGTGTGTATGTTTGTGCTCTTGGAATACCTATGTCCACAGTGTGCCACCTTCGCCTGCCCTGTCTTTCCCTCCCCTTCGCACTCGTCCCCTCCCTTCCCCACCCTCTCTTCTTTTCCTTATTCCGCCCTTGCCAGGCAGCGAATGAGCGCATCGCGAAGGCGACCGCTATCCATGCGCCCGAGCCCCAGGCCAGGCAGCCGCGCGACCATGTGGACCAATGTGGGAGTCGGGGCGGGGGCGTTCGCGGAGGGAGGGGGGTCAGAAGGGGGCGTGGATGAGGGAGATTGGGGGAGGGGGGGGATTAACTGCAGCATGAGGAGGAGGATGCTGCTGATGATGATGATACGGAGGAGGAGTAGAAGGAGGAGGACGAGCAGGAGGAGGAGGAGGAGGAGGAGGAGGAGGAGGAGGAGAAGGGGCGATATGTGGACTTCCTTTTGGCCTTCCAGCATGAATCACAACATATGGCTTCCAGCGCGTGTTACTAGTATCTTCCTTTCCTGCCCTATCTCGTTTCCTTTTCAAGTCTGCCGCCTTACCCCCGTACCGAGGGTCTTTGCGCACTCACAAAGCAACGTCGTCCCAGGCCCACGGGGCAAGAAGGATTGACACAGTTGACGCAAGAAGTGATGCATCCAGGGCCGAAGACGACGAGTGCACCGATGCCCGCCCCGAGCTGCCCACTGCGCTCGCCTAGACGCGCCCGAGATTATGGACACTGGAGCCGACTGCTGGTGGTGCTTGCAGTGCCCCTACCATTGCGAGCTTATGCTGGGAGCACTGGTGAGGGGCCAGACAAACAGCCTCGGGGCTCAAGAGACGGGGTCAATGCAAACGGTGATCAGCCAGGGCGCCAGATCTTGCAGGATCCTGCAGAGCCAGGGGTGCACTTACCCAGGCTTGCGTGCAGGATTCCGCAGGATCATGAGGATCCTGCATGCAGGATTTTGCAGTATCCTGCAAAGCCTGACTGACCCAGCTTTGGAAGGGGGGGGATGAGGAGGAGGAGGAGGAGGAGGAGGAGGAGGAGGAGGAGGAGGAGGAGGAGGAGGAGGAGGAGGAGGAGGAGGAGGAGGAGGAAGAGGACCAGTGGAAACCCAAGACTCATCAACGATGATGGAATTAACCCTCCCTCCAAACTCCCTCTTCATAGGCACCTACAACGGTTCATTTCCATTGAGGGAACTGCCTCGTTGGAAGACAACAGTTTAAAGATCCTGAAGCGTGCCAAAACATTGTTTTCAGGATTTCAACGCCACGGATCAACCTGACTGCTGCGTCTTGACGATCCAGAATCGTGCCAAAACGCCGTTTTTTGGGATTTTAACACAGCGAATCAATATGTACCTGTTGTGCCCGCATAATCCAGAATCCGTCCAAAACACCATTTCTGGTACGCTGATCATGGGAATTCGTGAAACTCTTGCAAATTTTGCAAAAGGAATGTGCGCGGGGCTAAGGCGAGAAAAGGAACCGCCTTCAATCCGTGAAGCTCTAGCAATTTCTTAAAACGAATGCGCGCGGTGCTAAGGCGAGAGACACATTTTGAAAAGGAACCGCCCTCAATCCGTGAAGCTCTTGCAAATTCTTAAAACGAATGTGCGCGGCGCTAAGGCGAGAGAAGCATGTTGAAAAGGAACCGCCCTCAATCCGTGAAGCTCTTGCAAATTTTTGAAACGAATGTGCGCGGCACTACAGCAAGAGCCACATTTTGAAAACTACCCGCCCTCCATCTGTGAAGCTGTTGCCACGTTTTAAGCTTCGGAGTCTTAAATGGTGGGGAAGTCTCAGGCCAAACGCCCAGCCCGTCCTAAAAAATGGCTACGGGGTGCGACAGGGAGGAGTTATCTTCAAGGAGAAGGAATGGAGGAGGAGGAGGAGGAGGAGGAGGAGGAGGAGGGAGGAGGAGGAGGGAGAGGAGGAGGAGGAGGAGGGAGGAGAGGAGGAGGAGGAGGAGGAGGAGGAGGAGGAGGAGGAGGAGGAGGAGGAGAGGAGGAGGAGGAGGAAGGGGGAGGAGTCGCGACCCCATGGAGCGACGCGCCGAGATCGGAGTGCAGAGAAAGGCGGCGGCGGCGGGAAAAGGCGAGAGGCGCGCAATCGAGAGGAGGGGGAGGGAGGAGGAGGAGGAGGAGGAGGAGGCGGAGGAGGACGAGGAGGAGGAGGCGGAGAGGGAGAAGGAGGATGAGGAGGATGAGGAGGAGAGGAGGAGGGGAGGAGGAGCAGGAGGGAGGAGGAGGAGGAGGAGGAGGAGGAGGAGGAGGAGAGGATAGGAGTGGATTGACCAGGGTCGGTGCGCCCCCGACAGCCCTCCGGCGCACAGTGCAGAGGAGAAGCAGAGTCCCTCGGCGGGGGCGCCCGAGCTCAAGCGTGGCGCGCCACCGCCCGAGGGTCGCTCCTCCTCCTCCTCCTTCTCCTCCTCGTCCTCCTCCTCCTCCTCCTCATCCTCATCCGCATCCTCCTTCTCCTCCTCCTCCTCTTCCTCCTCCTCCTCCTCCCGCCCTCCCCCCCCCCAGGCCAGGGCTCGAGCTGAACAGTGCTTTGGCAATGTCGTCGACCGTTTTCGTTTTGATTCCGTTTTGTAGCAAGGGCGGCACGAAGACAAAACGAGTGATATAACGCAAACGTAACGAAAACGGAAAGCACTGTTTAGCTCGAGCCCTGCCCCAGGCCGCGCACACGGGGCCCCGCCCCTCGGGGCCGCGCGGGCCTCAACACCTGCAACGGTTCGTTTTCATTGAGGGAACTGCCTCGTTGGGTGACAACAGTTTGAAGATCCTGAAGCATGCCAAAACACTGTTCTCGGGAGTTCCACGCCACGGGTCAAGCTGACTGCTACGTCTTGACGATCCAGAGCCGAGCCAGAACGCTATTTTCGGAACTTCAACACCGCGAACCAACATAACTGTTGCACCCGCATAATCCTGACTCCTTCCAAACCACAATCTCTGGTATGATCATGGGAGTTCGTGGTATTCTTGCAGTTTTCTAAAACGAATGTCCGAGGCGCTAAGGCCAGAGCCACATTTTGAAAGCCACCCGCCCTCAATACGTGAAACTCTCATAGATCTTTAATACGAATGTGCGCGGCGCTAAGGCGACAGCAACATGTTGAAAACCACCCGCCCTCCATATGGGAAGCTGTTGCCTTCTTGTAAGCTTCAGAATCATAAATGGGGAGGAAGCCTCAGGCGAAACGCACGGCCCGCCCTGAACAGTGGCCTCGGGGTGCGACAGCCCTTTTTTTGGGAGGGGGGGGGGGGGCGTTTTTTTTTTTTTTTTTTTTTTTTGTTTTTTCTTTTTTGTTTTTTGTTGTAAAGGGAAAAAGGAAAAGGAATGGAGGGGGCGAGGAGGAGGAGGAGGAGGAGAGAGGAGGAGGAGGAGGAGGAGGAGGAGGAGGAAGGAGGGAGAGGAGAGGAGGAGGAGGAGGAGGAGGAGGAGGAGGAGGAGGAGGAGGAGGAGGAATGTCACGATTGGCGGCAGCGACAGCGGCAGCAGAAGGCGGCCCTTCTCGCCCTCGCGCGCCAGAGGCACAGCAGCAGTTCTACGAGCGTTGGTGGCTGCCCGACCGCCAGTGCGCACCAGCGGAGCCGCTCGAAACGGCGCGGCGCCTAGGGCGCGCCGTTTTTTACAGCGCCAGGCTCCGCCGCGTCGTCTCTCCACCGTCCTACTCCGTCTCCTCCCTCCTCTTCCCCCTGTTCCGCCTGCCCACGCTTCGGAGCAGCGATTCAGCAGTGCCCCGAAGTGCGGGTGATCGCCACAGCTGATCAGAAGGTATAGAGGGAGAGAGAGGGAAGGACAGAGAGAGAGAGAGAGCGAGAGACAGAGGTAGAGAGAGAGCGAGAGAGGAAATAGCGGCAGGGAACGACATAAAGAGAGAGATATAGAGAGAGAGAGAAGGAGTAAGAGAGAGAGAAAGAGAGAGAGAGAGAGAGCGGCAGGGATAAAGGGAGAACGGGTGTAATTCATTCTAGTATTAATCAGATTGTCAAGCGTAATATTCATACCAATACTAAACACACTCGTGATGCCACTCATCACATTATGGTAAGCTAGTACTGCCACCAACATTATTGCAAGTCTTGTTATTGATACCACGAGTAATGCTTCTACTCCTGATTTTAGTTGTACTAAGCATAATAACATCAATGCCCATACCACTAGCACTAATTCAACTACGCGTAATACGAATCATGACACTAGCAACACTAATAGTTTCCACTGCTGGTTGCACTCGTTACATTACTAATGAACTTGATATAATCTAGTAAGAACTAACTCAATACAACATGACGCATATATATATGTAGTGTACTACAATATTAACTGTCATATACTGCAGGATTCTGTAGTATACTGATATCAGCACGTACTGCACTGCGTTACATACCCTATTATAACACAATCTGATACAATGCAGTGCTATAACGCTACAGCTGGCTATAGTATAGTACAACTTTTTACATCGTAGCACAATTCCCAACACATATCGCACTTTATTAGACTACTACATCACATGCCATTACAATCAACCATACTATGACAGCTCAATCTAACATATTCTATTATATTGTCTTACGCTGTGTTATCATATAGTATGGCATGCTGTACTATACCATAACACTGCGTATTATAACATAAGCGCACGTAATACTTTATAACTGTACGCAACATAGCATAACATAACATAACATATTCAAGGGCTTCTCCCTCTGCCGCCGCCCCCCCCTCTTACCAGTGCGGGCGGCTGCGCGGGGGTCTTCTTGGGGCCTCTTTGGGGTCTCCTTGGGGCCTCTTGGGGGCCTCTTGGGGGTCTCCTTGGGGCCTCTTGGGGGTCTCATTGAGGCTTCTTGGAAACTATTTTGGGTCTCTTGGGGGTCTCCTTGGGGCCTCCTGAGGGGCTCTTGGGGGCCTCTTGGGACCTTCTTGGGGCCTCCTGGGGCCCTCTCAGGGCGGAAAGGCGAAGTTTTCAGTTCGTGGACTCCCTCTTGGGCCTCTCTTGGGACCGTCTTAGGGCCCTTTTGGGCCGTCTGGGGCGCCTCTTGGACCGTCTTCGGGCCCTCTTCGGCCGTCTTGGGGGCCACTTGGGCCGTCATTGGGGGCTTGTAGGGCCGTCGTGGGGCGATCTTGGGAACCATCTCGGAGCGTTGGAAAGCCGAAAAGGCGAGAAGGCCAAAAACCTGCAAAAACTTTAGGGCAATCTTTGTTTTTGGCTTCGTGGGGCCCTCTTGAGAGGCCTCTTGGAGGCCTCGTGGGCCGTCTTGGGGGCTTGTTGGGCCGTTTTGGGGCCATCGTGGGACATCTCGGGGCCATCTTGGACCGTCTTGGCCTCCTGAGGCTCTCTTCGGAGCCTCTTCGGGCCATCTTGGAGGCCTCTCGGGCCGTTCTGGCTGCGCAGTGGCGTCACCATGAGAATCCTGGGGTGGCCCGGAGCAGCCAGGATTTGAGGTTCCCCCCCTTTCGTTGGCTGCTTGGTGGTGCGGCGGGGCCCCCCAGCAGACAGTAAACAGGAGGCAGGAAAAACGACTGGAGAACCAGAAGGCCAAGCAAACAAAACAACAACACATAACACATGACAGCAGATCGCACACACCTTCGCACCCTTGCGCCTCCGAAGGGGGCCGGCAGATAATATAATATCATATACATTTAACGACGCACCGGGCTAGGGGGCCGAGGGCCAGAACCTCGACCGCAAATGTGGGGACTGGGGCCTGGGCCCGCCTCTGGGAGGCCTGAAATCGCCCCGGAGAGCCCTCAGACAGCAATCCCGGCGGCCCCAGACGGTCTCGAGACACCCCGAAGACGCCGTCCAGGGGTCTCTGGCGACGGACGATTCATTTTATTGCCCCGGAGGTCCCCAAGACGCCTCAAGAGTCCTTTAAGATGCCGCCCAAGAGCGCCCCGAGAGGGCAAAATCGTTGATTTCCATAGTTTTTTCAATTTTTTTTGCGTTCTCGCTGCTTCGTGTTTCCCGGCGCTAAAGCACCGCTCAAGAGGCTCCCAAAACCGCTCCAAGACGGCCCAAGAGGCCCCCAAGAGGAACCCAAGACGGCCCAAGAGAGCCCCGAGACGGCCCCAGAGCCGCCCAAGACGGCGCAAGAGGGTCCCACGGAGGCCCCAAGAGGAGCCCAAGAGAGGGAACGCGAACTGAAAAATCAAGCTCTCCGCCCCAAGATGCCCCCAAGAGGCCCCAAGATGCCCCCAGGAAACCCTCAAGAGGCCCCAAGAGGCCCCCAAGAGGCCCCAAGAGGCCCCAAGAGGCCCCAAGAAGTCCAAAAGAGGCTCCAAGAGGCCCCAAGACGGCACCCAAAAGGCTTCAAAACTCGTTCTAGAGGCCCCCGAAGACATGCCAAGTGACGACTTCAAGAAGCAGTCCAGGATGCTCCGAGGAGGCCCCAATCAACTAGCTAGAACTTGAGCGCGCGCGAAGCGCGCGATGGTGCTATTTTCATGTTATACACTTAATTTTCTAGCTCATGACATATTATATTACGTTAGATTATAGTACATTATATTAATCTATATTACGGTACAGTGCAATGCAATATTATACCATATAACATACTGGAATATAGCATCATACGCTATGATATACCATATTATTATATAGTATGTTGTATGCTAAGAGATCATAACACAATATGTTCAAATATAAAGTAAGCTTTTGTAAGTTAAGATGGCATACCATAAGCCCCAATACGAGACGGTCCCACGACGGTTCCCGAACGGCCGAAGAGACGTCCAAGACGGCCCAAGAGGGTCCCACCGCGGCCCCTTATCAGGAACGTGAGCCGGGAACACGAGATCTTCGCCCCAGGAGACCCCCAGGAGGATTCAAGAGGCCCCCAAAAGCCCAAAAGAGGCCCCAAAGAGTTCACTGAAACCCGAGGGCATTTGAAGCACATGAAATTCTAACATTTCTTTCTGTTTCAAGTTCGCCTGGCAGCTTTGCTACGCTTGCAAAAAATGGAAACATCATATTTCCTCCTACTCCTCCTCTTCCTGCTGTTCCTCCTCCTCTGCGGCCTGCTCCTCCTCCTCCTGCTCCTCCTTCTCCTCCTCATCCTCCTTCTCCCCCCAGGGAACCCCTAAACCTCACCTTTTCCTCCCTCTCCCTCGGGCTACGTCCAGCCGCGGCGAAGAGAAGGGCTCCTGAAGTGCCTCTTGGGCCTGTCTTAGGCCGCCGTGGGTGGGCCGTAGGAAAACTTGGAAGCCACTGGAGCCATCTTCGTTATTCTTGGACACCCTGGAGAAGAAGTATCAATTAATAGAGGTCCCCGAGGGTTCGACTATCCAGGCTAGCTAGAATTTGAGCGCGCGCGAAGCGCGCGATGTTTCTAGTATAGATTCATCACCGTGACGACAGTTTCTTTCAATTTGCCTTCGCCAATAGCGCATCAGCGCGGAGTCGTTCGGAGTAGAAAGAGTTCAACTACTCCGCGCGTGGGCGCATCCCGCTCGATAGTTCATAGGGTTTGGCGCGGAGTCGTTTCCGATCCGGACTTAGGGTAACACGGTTCGGATCGGAAGCTATTCCGCCGAATGACGCAGTCATCATGTCATGTTAGGCATCATTAGAGGGACAAGACATCTTATCATCATGGCAAATTGAAGGAGCTTTTATCACGGCAGCGCATATAGTTAATTACACGCTCCCCAGACAGTTCTTGCACTTAACTTATCCGCAAAGGCCTTGCCCATTGCCGCTGGCCCCCTCTCCTCTTAGCATGGGGCATGCCAGAGCTAGGTTTGGATGCAAGGGCGCCGTCGTGAAGCATTGTCGGGACTTCACGCGAGGGCCACTATCGTACCTTACGGCTTGCACAGAAACACCGAACATCTCTCGAGTTATGTCGGTTCGCTCTGCGAACCTTCTGAACGTCGTGGTTTCGGGATGCGAACATCGCAGAATGTATTAAGGATCGTAGAATCTGGTACGCGAGTGCAGCGTAACTTGCAAAAGGTTCGTGTCTTCGAAGACCGGATAATCACGTACTCTACCAGGGATTATGGCTTCGCGGACGCATATATTGTATAATTTGCCAGGGATCGTGGCCTCGGGGACACAAGCATCGCGTAATATACGATTGCTGATGGCCCCGAGGACGCGAACAATGCAGTTTACGATGGATCATGGTTTCGAGGGCGCAGATGCGGCATAATTTACTAGAGATCGTGGCTTCGGGGACGCGAGCATTGTGTAATTTACGTGGGATCGTGACTTCGGAGGCGCGATACGTGTATAATTTACCAAGGGCGTGGCCTCGGGGACTCGAACATGGTGTAACTTATCTGGGATCGTGGCGTCGGAATTTGGTTTATTTTGTAAGGGCTTGTGGCTTCGATGATTCGAATGTTTAATGGTTTACTGCGGGATATGATTCCGAGGACGCAGACGCAGTGTAATTTGCAAGCGATCGGGGCGTCGGGCACGCGAGCATTTGGCAATTGACGAGGGATCGTGGCCTCGGCGACGCGAATTCTGTCTAGTTCCGGATGGGGCCGTGGCTTCGGGGACGCGAAGATCGAGTCATCTACGGGACTCCGTGGCGCAAACGTTGTACAGTTTTTTTTTTTTTTTTTTTTTTTTTTTTTTTTT